TACATATATATTCAAAAGGACAACATGTATTTTAGAGTTAAGCAGCAAGTGTTGTGTCTTGGGTCTAGATGTTCCCCCAAAGCCCCATGTGCTCACAGGGGGGCCCTTCAGAGCTGGCTGTGGAGCTGGGATTAAGGGTGCATGGTAAAATCAGTCCACTGATTGTAATTATCATGGTTCTGAATGTGGCTGAACTCAAAACCGTGGGGGGGGGGTACCACCCAAAAGGCTTGTAGCTCAGATGTCATCAAAGGGCAAGGCAGGCTCCCTGCTGCTGCTTCCTGCCCACCATTCTGTGCGCTGTTTCTCCACTGCCTGAGAGCTAGCAGACTGTGGACTGAAGCCTCTGTAAGTGTTAGCTGAAATAGTTCTTTCTTCCTTAACTGTGAGTGTCAGTTATTTTGTCTCAGCAATAAGCAAAGCCAGCAGGGCTCCATCTACCAGGGAGCGTCCAGCATAGGTCCTGGAAGTGCCAACCAACATCCGAACGCTGAAAAAACATCAGTGAACAGAAGTGGATGGAGTTCAAAACAGGCTGAGTGGCCCCTATCCAAAGTCCTCTGTACGGATTTAAAGTTTAACATATCAATGATTGTTGGAAAATACCTGTTCCATGTTATGTCTAAGGTGTTTGGTATTCAAACAGATGCTGATATTAAGCTCAACAACCTATTTTCTAGGGTAATAATATCATTAAGCTTCTCTTCTGGAGGATTAACAACTTAAGTTTGCAAACAAAAAAAATTAGAGAAAAAGAAGGGCTACAAGGATAGCCAGCATTTTGGCCCTAGCCTCTCAAGGTCAGTGAGGATTTAGGAAATAAGAGAACCTGTACTGTAACATCCTGAAACTCAGGGGTGTCCCAAATTTTCTGATCAAGGAGATTATGGAGCTATAGAGAAAAGTGATTGATGATGTAGAGTGTACCTAAAGAGAGTCGCCTGGAGAGAAAACATTCTCTCAGGCTTTCACAGAGAGCAAATTGGTCAAGCAATGGCCATGACTCATCCACATGGCTGACACTGACAAAGGA